GGGGGCGGAGGGGTTGCGAGGAGAGGAGGGGGCAGGTGCTCGCTGGCATGAGTTGGGGGGAAGGGCTTGCCTTGCCAAGGCAACCCGATTGCGCTAACAGCGTTTTGGCAGAACGCAAAACAGCCTAATGCAATGCCAAGAAGAAGCGGGGGGAAATATTATTTTGCAAAATAAAACACACAGCACCCACGGCACTCGTGTTTAAAATTTCACGAAAACAAATCATAATTAATGCAACTCCATCAGAGTAAGAGTGGAGATGTATTCAACAATAATTAAGACGAGTTCTTTTTGAAAACATTTCCCCCTAAAAGCAAATAAAAATAAACTATAATTACAAGGAAATTTCGCAGCATGGAAACTTTTCACCATAAGCTGAGAGACGGGGACCAAAGAGAGTGGGGGGTGAAAGCTCTGACCAGCCAGCAGCAGCCCAGCTCAGCCATGCGATCGGAACCAATTAGCTGACCCTATTAGAGCAGCCTTTGCATCCCCGGGAGCTGGACGGGCTCAGCCCGACTGAGAGGGCTTGGACCTGGCCAGATCACGAGAGAGACGGTGAGGAACAAGTGGAAGAAGGATAGAGAGAGAAAGAGGGGGGGGGGGAGACTTCCCCCCGGTAATAGGGCAGCTTATTTCTGCCACCTGCCTGAAGGGCACGCCTCAGGAACCAGGATCGGATATTGCCGCGCAAAGTGCCTTCCAGCAGGGGGCAGAGGTGGAAAGGGTAAAGGTAAGGTGGCCCCAGCGGCAAATTTAGTATGCGGCGGAGATGCCTTGGCCTACCAATGTTTTTTACTGTAACCAATATACAAATGATACGAGAAATTGCAAATGAGAAAGCCTGACAGGTTCGTATAACAATGCATTTTTAAAGCAGTGACCCCGACCATATGATGTGATAACATACTGTAGGTTGCATCAGGTTTCAGGTCGTTGACATAGCATTCCTCTAATCAAGACCTACCAAGATCTGCCTAAGCCCTGTCAGCAGGTGCTGAGGGTGATGTGCCACTTCACTCTTTTCACCACCAAGGTGCTGACAACCGCGAGACCTTTTTCAGACTGACCCACTCGGGACGCAACGCCAGAGTTGTGTGTGAGAGTGTATGTGTGTGTGTGTTTGTGAGCAGGGCGCGCCAAAGCGCAGGAAATATAGATAAAGGTCACACACTCACATCAACTTTGATCTTGACGCCGTCGACGTCAAAAACTTTGGAGGCCGGGATCTCCTTTGGGACGTACTGGTAGAACTCGCTCTCTCCACGGAACCACTTGATGGAGTAGAGAGGTTGGCCCTCCAGGTCGTAGTCGCAGCGGAGGGTGACGGTGGAGCCCTGGGCCACCGCGTCGGGTATGCTCATCGAGACGTTCTTGACCGCAAGAGAGGCCCCTGCGACAGAAAAAGAAACGAGGACAATGTTAAAAGGAGAAAAAGGGTACACTACTGTCTGTGTAGAAAGCAAGACGAACACGCATATAAAAGATTAGCCCGCGTGAAGTTTACGCTAGCTAAATTCGTGATTGATTTTCAGGTTCACACTAACAGATTTGTAGGTTTTATTTGTACAAAGTTGCGCATACATTCCATTCGCATAAATTTGTGCGAAGAAGTGCATGTTCTTATGAATACGTATGCACAAATTCGTGCATATTTGCGCACAAATTCGTGCAAATCGAAATGCATGCGCAACTTTGTGCAAACGTTCGCACAAAAAACTACAAATACATTTAGTTTGTTGTTCTACAGTGGATAAGGACCAGACGCCAGAGGAAATATCTTCACACAAGATCTATAATCTTGTTGTTTATCTGTTTATAATGAACGGTTTCTAATAGAGCTATGCTAAGATCTGGGAGACATTCAGCACCAAGAATACAGTTGTCTTCAGAGAATATTTTACGGATTAGCCATTTCTAAAGGGATTTGTCACCTCGAGAAGAACCACGTTACGTTTCATTACCGACGGAAACTTGTCAGCAACGACCATTAGTGAAATACGTTGCACTGGCGTATTTACCGACGGCCCCTTGCCCCTCCTACATAAGTGGCTTGTAATGAGGTAACTGAATTCACTGTGGTAACTGCCAGTGCCTCTGGCTGCAGCAACTTGAGACAAACAACAACAGAGTGCTGGCCGGCCCGCGTGCGCACACGCTAGGAATGGGATGGGGGCGGGGTAGGGGGTAGCACCATGAGGGTGTAAAGGCTGGGTAGTGTAGCGTTTGCTTGCACCGCGGAGAGAGAGGAGAGAAACGAAGAGGGATGGAAGAGAGAAACAGAGAGGAGAAGGAGGAGAATAGGGTCCTGCCCCTGGTCCTCGCCAGATATTCTGGGCTTGACAAACCGGCAGACCGCATGGCGGCTGTACCGACTCCCTCACCCTCTGCTTGCTCTTGCTCGCTCGCTTGCTCTCTCTCTCTCTCTCTCTCTCTCTCTCTCTCTCTCTCTCCGCCTTTCTCTCTGCCCACTGTCCCCCATGCCCTTGTCTTTCCATTACTATCCAAAAGGAAAGTTATTATGCAGCAACAAGGGGCATGTTATTTCGCCCGGTCCCGCACTAAACCAATATGAAAGGGCGTGCGGCGCGGACGGCAGCGGCAACAACCAACTGCAGCCGTAATAAGCTCGCCATCGCACGAATTTTAAAAGACCATTGAAGAGAATTATGAAGTTTTTGCTAAAACATAATATTACCAACAAAAATTAAACAGATTTAAAAAAAAGAAAACAAAACGAAGAACAAAACAGAACTAAATTAAGTATTAAAAACACAATTTCAAACTGTGAGAACGGCAATTTTAAATACGCCGGGCTTGCGCGACACGGCTGAATGTGGTCCAGCGAGTATATCGACCGAATGAATAAAATATTCCTTATTGTGGGTCCCTTTGAGGGGCGCACCGGTGGGCCCAGTGGGCCGGGGGCCGGGTGGGCCCGCTCCAGGCGGAGTAGGCTTTGGCTCGGCAGGGAGACGGGGCACCAGGGGGCGCGGGAGGGGCAAGGCGACCCCGCGGCGACCGCTAGGAGCCTAATCCCAATTTGCTTCGCATCAAAACCCCACTTACACCGAGAGCGCACAGGTCTCTGGCGCTGCGACACAGGCGAAGCATCACACGGAATCGTCAGACATACTACTGCAAAAAAAGCAGCTAACCCTTTAAAACGAGTTTTAAGTCCCAAGTATGTCCCGTAGAAATACACAGATTGATTCATGTTGTGTATGTTTGGCATGGCGCTCGCAGTTCACACAGGACTGCGGTGCTGGCCACGCGCTGCGCGTTTTCACGGAATGAAAGCCACGCAATTTCAAGGCGTATATTTGACAAATTTGCTGCTGCACTGAGAAAAATGTTTAGTCCTGAGCACTAGACTTTTAGTCCCCAGACCAAAAGTTTTTGACGCACTAGACAATTTGCTCTAAGGACAAAAGTTTTGTTGCCTGGCCTTACATGTTCATCGCATCCCACCAAAGTTTCTTATCGCGGGAACTAAATGTTTAGTGCTGGGATCAAAATACGACTCAGTAGAAAACTGTCTTGTCCTAGGGGAGAAAAAATTTTCTGTGTGCAACATCGGCTTGTTGATTTCTTTCTGAATCCACCAGTTTCTGGTTACATATAGCAGCTAGAATTTTCACAAAGAGTTCCAGCAACTTTTTTCACGATGGATTCGTCCCAAAGTTTGTACAGTTTTTGAGCAGTGTTCCATGTTCAGCATTGATATGCAAACCCGCGCGTATTCTTGAAACTCCTTTCTGAACTGAAAATCATGATGTTCAAAACGAAGTGAGCACGATTAAACAGGTCAGGACAAACAGAAAAATATGGAAGAGGTGGCGTAGGGGGGAAAAGAACACCAGAATGAGGAATCCTCGTGAACAATTGTGGCTGCTGTAATTACAACTCAAATGCGATAATTTCGTTTGTAATGCAAAGAAAATCCATCGGAATTGTGAAGATATTCACAGCAGTCAAATAGTTCGAATTTCGAAAAAAAACTTTGCAAGGGAATCATCAGTGTAGGGAAAGAGTAAGGTGCAGAGAATGAGTCTGTGAGAGACGAAGGAAGAAACAGGAAAAGAGGAGGGGGAGGGGGCTTGGCAAAAAGTCCGACTAATGCTGGAGGGTCGCCTGCCCACCCGTGCAGCCCAATTAAATAAAATCTCGGAGGTCGGCGGCGGGTCTTGCATGTAGACATAGCTCCGGGTAGCCCTGCTACTGCTGGCCTCGCTGTCATGGGCCGCTTAGCCCTGGGGCTTCACTGCCCGTGCAAGGTGATTTGAGACCTATCCCCCCGCTTGCCTCACCACACTCCAGTGCATATTCAGAGCAGAACGAGGCAACTGAGGCTACAAACGAGCGACAAACTTCTCCGTTCCCCTTGCTTTTGCTTACTTGCTTCTTGCTTTCTCTTTTCCTCCCCCCCTCCCTCTCTCTCACCGACCCTCAGATCTGCACCTTTCACCTATTTCGTTTCATTTCTTCCCCGTAGAGCCATTTCACCAAGCCGGGCCGCAACTGCTAACCTTCCTTGCAAATGGAGGAGGGAGGAGGGGAGTGATTCCGTGCATGTAAGTCGCGGGCGCATATGGTGCCCAACGTACCTTGCCAAGCACCTCTCCAAACGATACTCGAAGGGCAGCGCGCTGGCAGCAGCACCGAGCCAGTTAACTTGGCATAAACTGCACGGAATTAAGGGAGCGCCAATCCGGCCATGTATTCAGCATCCAGAGAGAAAGGGGGGAAATACGCGGAAACAGTCGTGAATCGATTCACGACCTTTCATTCGTCTAAATGCGGGGCCAAGCCCCTTGCGCTGCTACACCGAGTTAAACAGACCACACACCCGGAAAACAATACCTTCGTTTAAAAGAGACGTGCAATTAAAACTTGATTTCGATACATGAAAGGATTTTTTCTAAGCGATACGTAGCCAAATCCCATGAAGGAATGAAATTTTTCAATAGTTCACCTCGGTTGGCTGGGTAGCTGGTGGCAGGGTCGCTGAATATTGTCGATTGACTCTGCACTCGGTGTTGTGGGTTCGAATCCCGCGCACTCCTGATTGTAAAGCCTCTGAATCTAGGTTGCAGTCTTGCTCACCTTGTGACACCCGTACAGTCCAACGACCAACTAACTCCACTTCAATCCGTTTAAGTAGCTTTTATCAGCTGCGTGGGGCTCGTGCAAAATACGGGTTTGGCAGACCCTGTTTTCCCCTCACTTGCTTAATTTTCAAAATTAATATAGGTGTGTAAATGGCGACATTTCCAAGACCTTTAATCCACTCACCCTCAAGTGTGTGAATATTTCGTCACTCATGCAGGTGTACGACATTCGGACACTCGGGATTTCTAGTGCAGTTTTATAACTATTCTTTAGAACCTGATTAACATTTACCGTCAACTATGTTCGCTATTTTGCAGCAGATTACCCATTATTTTGTTGGTATTTTTTCGGACTGCTCGGGGCCTGGTGCACATTCCTCAGTTTAAAAAACAAGCGGTCCGTTCACATTCATGGAAAATACTGTCCATATCCGTTTGTTTGCGCGTGCTGTAAAAAGGTGCGTTTGCTGTGGGGTGGCTCTTTCGGTGCGCTGCGCAACCGGCACACCGTGTGGCAATATTTCGGCAGAAAAACGCTGTAATGGGATATGCTTGAGCGTTTCCCTCACCCCCTCCCCTCAGAGCACCGACCCCGCCGCGGGCCGGCGACGAAAGCGCGGTGCAGGCACAGCAGAAAGCACGGCGAGTACCCGGAGTACACTCTGTGACACAATCTAACGACTGTCATATTGTCACCAGAGCAGCTTCGGTGTAACGGGTGCAATTACGGGGGGCGCAGCGTGCGGCCAGCACCGCGGCCCTGTGTGAACTGCGAGCGCCATGCGAAAAATACACAAACAAAACAAAAACTAGAAATCATGCTATTTTTTTTTTTTTGCGGTGCAGTTTGTAAATTTACAATTTTACAGATATTTGCAAAGTAGGTTTTGT